ATGCGCTTTAGACAGCTTACGTGTTGCATAGCTACTAGGATATTATTATAAAAGAAAATATGTGACACTTTGCTACCGTATCTTAGCCATTTTAGAGTTTCACGAAAACCAACGGCCATCATTAATTTCTTCAGCAGTTTTTCAGAATTGACGTCTTTATTTCGTGGTTACGGAATCTGCATTTAACTGCGCGTAACGAAAACTTTCGTCGGCAAAGTTTTATAACGCCTTTACGTGGAATAAAGTTTTTTCACGTGGGAATCCGAAAACAATGCTTATCGGACGACTGCTGAAAATAACAAAAATTTTATTATTATCTGCCCGAAAAGTTCCCTAAACTGTACACACGGTGGTTTAGAATAAAACACACAAATGTAACAAACTCCATCGACGCAGTATATAAAAACCCTGATGTTTTGTAATGTTGAAGTGCTTTGTTTTCTTTGCGGTACGGACTGAATTCTTAAATACCAGACGAGTTTCAGTTGTGTACAGGACTCGTAATAAATCAAAGCTTAAACAGCGTTAACCAGTTGATTTTTGTAATGTTTTCTTTGCGGTACGGGCTGAAATATTGTTTACGTGTGCTTCTGCGTCAAGGGGTTATAAAAATAGTTTTTAGGTTAATTTGCTAATAGTTTATTTAAGTAAAGTATAGGCCTTATTCATCGTAGTAGTTATACACTGCTGACTTAGATAAATGTGCTTATGCAGCTTGTGATAAATTGGAGAAGTGGGTAAATATTTTCGCAGTCAATTTAAAGACAGAAACCTTGAAAATACTAAACAAAACCACATTGAACCACAGTCAAGATTACGTCTTTGTCTCGCAGTAGTACAAATAAGGGTAAAACGTGGGATAAGGCATTATAGGCTCAAAAGATTCTTAACCTCAGAGTTCATCTTTAAGCTCTGGCTGTTCCACTCATGAGTTAGATCTCTGGAGGCTCTTTTGATAACAGACCGACCTGGGCACATTAGCGACCTGCAGAGAATCGAACCACGGTCACTTCACTAGAACGCAGACGTGTAGCTCTGATACACAAAATGAGCGTTTTACTACCTGAGTTAACCTGCTCAGGTAATGCGTTCCATCTGAACTTTCAGGACATTTAAAAGAATATAAATGACAATTCGGGATCACACTAATGAGGATGTGCAGATTTCTGGATCAATCCTGTTGTGAGACTCGAGAAAAACAGATTGACTGTATAAATACAAAGCCACATTCCAAAATCCCCCCCAAAAACCAGTCCATACTGTGACTTAAATTTATTGTAATATATGTATATTATAATCCATCGTCGTAATTATAATTTTAATTAAAACGACGTTTCGGAGTCTGTATTCTCCGAAGACAGGGACTGCATTTATTATCTGGCCCCACAGAGAAGGTTTCACTTGACGACGGAGTTACAGTATAGTCTCCGAAACGTCGTTTCTTAAAATCAGAATTAGCACGATGGATTAAGTCCAGGAAGTTTGTCGTTGTTGCGATACAACCCCCCCCCCCCCAGATTTAATAAAATGTATGTTATTTTTAATAAACCTTTGAATAATATTTTCAATTAACGTAAGAAAGTAAAGCCGTGCTTAATACTTCACGAATTATTATGAAATGCTTGCATCTGGAGGTCTCATCATCCGGAAGAATTTAAGTAGAAAATTTTGTAGTTTTTCGTTCAAAAAATTACTACCTGCTCACCTTTGGAAAAACATCAACTTACACGCATTAAAAACACGCGTGGCATTTGCGTGCGTCGCGCAGGACAGGATTCCCCCTGCAACATCAGGACAAGTACAAACACTTGAATTTGCCTGAGCCTACTGTGAGTGAGTGCGTGAGTGCGTGAATGTGTGTGTGTGTCTGCGGTGAACGCAATCTGTAATGGTCCCGACGTGTACATTTAAATTACGTGTATATAGATATTAATTTATAAATAATAACAATTCTAATTTATTTTGAGTGGAATATAAAAATTAGGGCATTATAAAGATCCATAGCTGTGAACATGAAATAAATACACGTGGATGTTACGTGTCGTTTTCTGTGTTAGCGCTGTTACCTCCCCTCCACGCTCCCCCCCCCCCCCCCCCAAACTCGTGAATCCAGAATCCACTTGAGGCATCGGTAAGTCTGAGCTCGGATTTTGATGTGTAAGATTTCAGGTTCTCACGGCCGTGAAGATGACGAAGTTGTTCTTGTGGGTTCTGACGCCGTTGGTAGATACAAACGATTCGGAGGAACATGCTGCCCCCATCGTCGGAGCTTAAGATCTACCCACAAGTGCACATGGCGTTGCAGCCCAGAAGAACAACATCTGCCTTTTGATTTCGGTCGTTTGTTTCCTGTTTTATCTGTTTCTTAATTTCTACCTTCCTTCTTCTGTTGTACGCACTTTTATTTTCTTGGAAAGCTGATAATTTCTTTCCCGCCATTGCGTAACTGGGAATAATCCTGAGGAAGGAACAGACTGAGGGTGCTGAGGGGAAAGTTTGGACATAAGAGGGATGAATTTTCAGGAGAGTGGGGGAAAATGTATAATGAGGAGCTTCATAATTTGTACTCCTCACCAAATATTATCAGGATAATAATCAAATCACGGGAGGATTAGATGGACGGGGAATGTAGCGCGCATGGGGGAGACAAGAATTCAGATTGGTGAGCCTGAAAGAAGGAGCTACTCGGAAGACCAAAGAGTAGATGGAAGGATATGAAAATGGATCTTTGGGATGTGTGATTTAGGGGTCTGTACTAAATTCAAAATCAGAGGGTGGGTTCTTGTGAACACAGTAATTAACCCTCGGATTCTTAAAATGCAAGTAATTTCTTGACTAGCTGAAAGCACTGTTAACTTCTTAAGAAGGACTCTCCTCCAATTATTTCGTTTCTTCTGTCTACATCTGTCTTTATACAGATGATTTGCCCAGTAGAATTTTACGTCATCCCTGAGTTTCGAAGGCAACTTAAGTACGCACACGTACAGGACCTCGTCAGCTCTCCATTGCGCACACGGACGGACTGACACGTGTAAATTATTATGATTATTATTTGACACAGATAACTTTTTAAATCCGAGGCAGCTGCAAATTTCCAGCTGTTCTATCAGCTGATTGATTTCTTGTGCAATCAAATTGCACCTGGCCCGCCCTCAGACGACGCCTCCGAGCAGTGGCAACAAAGAGCTTGTTTCTTCTCTTGCACGGCAAGTGACATCACAGCGAAGTTCATAATTTCTAGCAAAATTCCGCCGAACGGACGATTCTCAGAACAAACAGCGACAATTTCCTGAAAAAACATTACGCAATTGTTGTCTGTCACGAAGAACAGCTGTGGCTTACTTCAGGTAAGTCATGAACTCTAAACAATTATTTATACGAGCTTCGGCTTCAAAGGGCTAACCCAGACTTCGTCCAGATCCAAAGGATTTTGAACTCTGGTAGACGCGGTTAGAACCCTGGCCTTGTAATCCTGGGGTCTCGGGTTCGATTCCCGGCGGTGCCCGAATTTATAACTTGTGTTGGGCAAGGCCGTGGTCTAGGCAACACGGAGTTTTCCTCCGTGGCATCCCAACAATTACGCCATTCACACACAGAAGAAGGCAATGGCAAACCACTTCTGGATCATCTGCCAAAACGTATATGAACAGGTCCCAGTCCAAGAAACACACAGAAGAAGGCAATGGCAAACCCCTTCTGGATCATCTGCCAAGAACGTATATGAACAGGTCCCAGTCCGAGAAAAGGATGGAAGGATCCTGTTCATATGGACCTGTCGTCAGACAGAACACTAAATAATAAAATAAATAAATAAATAAATAAATAAAGACGCAGATGCAAATTCCTCTCATTGTTGAAGTAGCAGCGAAATCTGTTTCTTTTTAACAAATTGTATTCCCCAGACAGAATCAACGTCCATTGTTGCAGACGGCTAACCGAGTTCCGCCTGGGTCTCCATTGTTGCGTGTCGCGCCTTTTGGTTGCGTCATCAATTACGAGCGTCTTGTCGCCCGGCGGAACTGAGTCAGGGTCACTAACAATGAACCAGCGTCACGCACGGCCTGGGACCGAACGCACAGTTCTTCTCTCGCTCAGGGGTGGCCAAAGCACTTCTTTCGTGTACGGCCAGCCAGCCGAAGGTGATCATGAGTGCGTGGAGCCGTACCTCGTGGCATTAGAAGGAGTTGAATGATCAGCTTCGCGCTCCGGCCATTTTGACCCCAGAGTATCTCTTCCATTATTTCTTTAAATTATTTTCCTCAATTCCTTTTTGCATATTTTCATATTTCTTCTTCTCATTCCAACTGCCCTTTCTCCCTTCTCTCTTCGTTTCCCCAAACCCTGCTCCAGCTGGCCGACGGCCAGAGCCGCGATAACTTGCCCTGCGTCTTGCTAAACTGCGCGGAACAGTGGCTGGCGAGGAAGCCATCAATATGTTGCATGGCAACCCGGAAACCCGACAGACGTCACCCATTGTTTTGTTAGTGTCTGATAATAATTGCGCGAATGAGTGGCACAAAGCACTAGTCCGGCTTCTGTGCGGGAGACATACGTTCCAGGCTCAACCAAATCGCTGGGCGTCTCGTTATTTACCTCATACTCCCCGAAAAACATAAATTTGAAATATCTACTTGTTGGGTCCTGAAAACAGCTGTAGCGTTGTTGAATAACCTATGAACCATCCATTCAACTGCAGAACATAAGATTCTACACGCATTTTTGTCTTCTCATTTCTTTCTACACGCCTAGTCAATCGCTATCACAGTTTACCTGTCCTAAGAGTACAGGGGCACGCATAAATCACAGCGTTGCTCGTTATATGGAAATTTGTTAGAGCGGTAAAAAGATTCTGCCCTGACCTACAACAGCCACGTC